GGTGGCGGTGGCGGCACGGCGGGCGCGGACGGCGGGCGCCGGCCGGCGCTGCCGCGGCCCACACCACCCCCAGCCCCAGACCCAGACCCGGACCCAGACCCGGACCTAGACCCGGACCTGGACCCGGACCCAGTCCCAGACACAGACCCGGACCCAGACTCAGATCCAGACCCACACCCAGCTCAGCCCCAAACCCAGACCCAAACCCAGACCCAGACCCAGATCCAGGGCCGACAGTGGCAAAGCTCGGAGCCGCGCTGGCCACTGTCGGCAGCTGTCGTATCGGACGGCTCGGCACTGTGCCCAAATCTCTGGCACCTTTCGTGCATCTGTGCGTGTCGCGAAAACCGACGTGGAATGGGTTATGTGTGCTGTTACGTTTATATGTGCTGAAGAGTAATCGCAATGTGACGTGTTTGATGTCAGTCCGGATGCGTGCTCGACCCGGCGGTCGCGCCGGCTGGCCTCCCCCGTCGCAGTGTGGTGTGACGGCCCCACGGCCGTGCTCCGCGCACGTGCGGAGAAATGCAGAGGCCGCCACGGTGCTGGTGGTACGGTGTTGTTCCGTGTCGCGGTCGGTCCGCCTTCAGCCAGGCGGCCCGGCGGGCTGGCCGCTTGTTCCGCGTTGATGTCTCCGGTCGCGGCTCCGACGCCCGGCCGGCCCGTGCTCGCATTCGGGTCGGCCGGAGTCAGGCAGCCTCCTCGTCGCTGTGCTCTGGACACGCTTGCCTGGTTTCCGAAATGTATATCGTCGCCTGTCGTCGGACGCCAGCGACTCTGAGCCGTACGGCCGGGCGGCGGCGGCCGGCGGCGGGCGTGAGTGGCGTGCGCGGCCGGCCGGGCAGACCGGCGCGGCGCCGGCCGGCTGCCGCCAGTGGCTGGCGGCGGCCGGCGGCGCGCGGTCGTGGTGCTCGCGGTGCGCCCGAGTGGCGACACGACACTGACGTCATGGTGAAGAGCATGAAAGAGTTCGCTTCCCGCTTCCGCCGCGGCAAGACGGGCGGCAAGCCCAAATCGGAGGTGAACTCGGCTCGGTCTGTGAGGAGCGAGAAACTCAAGGCCATCGAGAAGACCAAGTCGAAGAACTCTGTGGGCCGCTCCCTGAAGCGTCAGAAGCGCGAGCAGCTGCGCCAGCTGCTGGACAGCTTCCCGAAGGAGGTGGCTGCCGGCGAGGAGGCCGCGCCGGCAGGCGGTGGTGTCGCGCAGATGGTGCGCCGCGAGATCGAGCGCGAGCTGGACCAGCTGGAGGTCGAACCCCACCCGCGGCGTCCTGCCGACGCCGATGGCGACAGGAACGCTGACGGCGGTGGCGGAGGCGGTGGCGGAGGCGGAGGCGGTGGCGGTGGCGGTGGCGGTGGCGGTGGCGGTGGCGGTGGTGGGGACGGTAGCGACGGCGATGGCGGTGAGGACGAGTTCTACTCGACGCGGCTGGAGGTGCGACGTCGCGTGTCGGACGCCACCCGGCGGCCGCGCGCGCCACCCGTCGACGGCCGCTCGCTGGGCAGTGAGTACGACTCGTGGGCCGAGCAGGAGGACAACTTCCACCGGCTGTACGAGCCCATCGACTACCGGCTGCAGCTGGACTCGTGGCGCGACATGAGCCGCGACCAGATGCTGGAGCACGTGCGCAGTCAGCGCCTGCGCCGCGAGATGCGGCACATGAGCCGCGCTGAGATCCTGACGCGCATCATCACCCTGCACCGTCAGCCGGTGCGGCTGGCGCGCCGCCGGCCGCGCCGCGCCGGCTCCAGCGACGACGGGCAGCCCGAGCGGCCGCGGCCGGCGCACGTGGAGGCCGAGGTGCGCGTGGTGCGGCGCGCCCGCCAGCCGGAACGGCGCGAGCCTGACGGCCACTCGGACACCGACTTCGACGAGAGTGAGTACGTGTCGCGCTCCGAAGTGCTACGCAACCTGCAGGGCTCCGCCGCCGCCGGCCGCAAGTACGTGGCGCGCCTGGAGATGACGCTGACGCCGGCGGCGGGCGCGCCGCCGCGGCGACCGCGCTTCGACGCCGCCTCGGCCACCGACTGGGACTCGTGCTCGTGCACCAGCTGCGGCTGCGACTCGTGCTCTACGGCCAGCGGCGGCACGGCCGTGCGGCGCGGCCACCACCGCGACCTGTACGTGGTGAACGGCGCCGTCGAGTCCGAGCTGAGCGGCGACTCGTGGTCGGCGGCCGACTCCGGCGACGAGCCGGCCGCCAAGAAAACCTCCGACCACGTCATCGTCGAGCAGGAGCACCGTCTCAAGGCGCTGTCGCGGCTCGACGACGACAAGAAGCGCAGGCTGGGCGTGGACATGGTGGCTTTAGTGCAGCCGGTGAGCGTGGCCACGCTGCGGAAGCAGCGCCAGGTGAAGGAGCTGCGTCGCCAGCTGAGTGACTACACCGGCGACTGGGAGACGCTGGACGACATTCGGGCTGGCCGCAAGGAGCAGATCGTGCGTGACCTGCGTGCCAAGCTGTCTGAAACCCGGCAGCAGCCGGACGGCGACCAGCAGGTGGAGGAGCTGAAGCGGGCCCTGCTGGGTGCCGCCGAGGCCGGCGACGACGGCGCCGCACCGCCCAATGTCAACCTCGGCCTCATCTATGTGCCCATGGAGGAGAACCACAAGACCAACTCGGGCTCCAACAAGACGTCCAGCAGTCGCGAGGTGAACACCGACGCGGACACGTTCGGCAGCCTGGACTCGCTGATATTCGAGCCCAAGCCGCCGACCACCGAGGCCATCATTGAGGAAGAGGAGGGCGAAAAGCCGGCCGAGGCCAAGGACTCGACCTGCAACTGCTCCACCTCCGAGCAGGACAGCGAGTCCTCGGAGGAGGAGAGCGACGATTCGGTGGAGGTCAAACAGAGGAGCCGGGAGCGTTCGCTGATGCCAGACAGGATCATCAAAACCACTCAGATCCAGGTGCCGAAGAAGGACGGCTTCTTCAAGCGGCTCTTCCGGTTCAACCGGAAGCCCAAGAAGGTCGATGGTGAGTACGAGGTCCCTCAGGAAATCAAAGACTTTGACCACATCTTGAGCGTGGCCATTGACTCGGACCCGGACAGTACGATCAGCTTCGAGAGCGTCATCTTCAAGGAGCCGAGCGTGGAGAACCTGTCTGGGAACAACATCAGTCGGCCGGCGGAGTTGAGCTCCAGTCAGCCGTCGCCTGAGGTGGCCGCCGGCGCGCCGCCGCCGCCGCCGCCGCTGTCGCCTGTCGCCGAGGACACCAAGAGCGAGCGTTCGGCGCACCGGCAGCCTCCGTGCAGCGTCTCCGAGGACGCCATACCGACCTACGTGGGCAACCTGCGGCGCCAGCCGTCCATCGCTGGCGAGCCGAGCCGGCCCGAGGCGCCGCCCGTCAGCCAGGCGGCGGAGCTGGCCGCCGACGAGCCCGACTACGCCCTGGTGGACGATCCGGCGCCGGCCCAGTACGAGCGCGTCGAGTACGACTCGATCGCGACGCCGGCTGCGCCCGGCCGCGTCTACGAGCAGGTGGCGCGGCGGGCGGCCGCTTCGCCGTCGCCGCCGCCGCCGCCGCCGGTGCCGGCCGAGCCGGCGTCGGCCGAGGTGGAGCTGCAGGTGTACGGCTCGCGCCACGGCGAGCCGCTGTACGGCGCCAAAAACAAGGGCCTGGTGCAGGCCATGTACGGCGCGTACGTGCGCACCAGCGACGAGGAGGGCTCCGACGGCAATCCGGTCATCTTCCGCAACGGCCGGCCGGTGGAGCTGACCGAGCAGATGTTTCGCCGCTCGTCGGACGAGGCGAGCGAGGCGGACCGGCCGGCGGCCGCTAGCGCCGCGGAGGATAACACCTACGAGGATATCTCGCTGGAGAGCGGCGGTCGGCCGGGCGGCGGTGCGGTGGCGGCGGCGGCGGCCGACTCGGCCGAGCTGGCGGCGGACGGCCAAGAGGACACCGTCTCGCAGCGGCGCGCGGACGGGGCGGCGCCGTCGCCGGCCGCCACCATGCAGCAGAAGCTGGACCGGCTTGCCAAGGTGGGCGCCGTTCCGATCGGCTTCAAGAAGCGCGACACCATGCTGCGCGAGCTCAAGACCAAGCTGAAGGAGCGCTTCAACACGTCCGACTCGGAGCCGGAACCGGCCGGCGGTGGCGTCGGCGTCGGCGGCCTGGAGCTTGGCAATCTCTCGGCCGGCGGGTCAGTGGCGCTGAAGCGGCAGCAGATGGAGGGTCAGTTCTCGCGCATGTTCCAGGCGGCGCGCGCCGGGCTGATCCCAGTGCCGCCGCCGCCACCGCCTCCGCCGCCTCCGCCTCCGCCGCCGCCGCCGCAGCAGCCAATGTTGGCGCCGCTCGCGACGCCGGTGGAGGTGCCCACACCCGATTACGACTCGGACTCGTACTGCGAGTGTGAGTTTGACGAGTCAGAGGCTAGCGAGCGGGGCGAGATAGCGCCCAGTGAGCACCTGGAGCGAGCCATGGCCGTCGGCAACTCACCCGAGCCGGCCGCCGCTGGCCAGCACCCAGCTAGAGACTCCGAGGTCCCGCATGGAGGCCGCGAGGGACCCGCCAGAGGCCGCGAAAGCCCCGTCAAAGGCCGCGAGGGGCCCGCCAGAGGCCGCGAAAGCCCCGTCAAAGGCCGCGAGGGGCCCGTCAGAGGCCACGAAAGCCCCGCCAAAGGCCACGGCAATGCGATCGAAGGCCCCGAGGGCCGGCCGGGAGCGCACACTGTGGCCCCGGCAGCCTCTGAGACTGCGGCCGTCGGCTCTGCTGAGCAGCCAGTCCGAGCGAGGCCCGTCGCCGGGTCGCCGCCGCGCAGCTTCCACCTGCACCCGCCGCCGGACTCGCTGGAGCCGCCGGCGCCGCCGCCGCCGCCGCCGACACTCTCCTCGGCCGTGCCCTTCCGCACCATGACGCTGTCGTACTCGGTGAGCGAGCGCGCCGGCCAGACCAGCGAGCTGGAGGCGCCCGGCTCGTGGCGCGTCGAGCCGCGCTCGTCGCTGGCCTCGTCGGCGGCCCTGCCCCGCTACGCCGGGCCGCGGCCGTACCAGGCGCCACCGGCGGTCGGTCTGCAGCGCGTCAACTGCTGGTCCGACCTGGAGAGCATCATCTTCGCGGAGGGCAGCTCGCTGGGCTCGAGTGTGGCGGCGCCGCGGCCGTCGGTGCCCACCTCGCGCATGGACACGTACCAGGACGACTGGCTCTATTGGGACCAGAAGGCGAAGCTACGCGCCTCCTCCAAGCCGGAGGACCGCGAGCGCTGGGAGGAGGAGAAGACGCGGCGCATGCTGCTCTGGCTGCACCACAGCCAGGCGGACGCGGCGCCGTACGGCTCCTGGTGGCAGGTAGGTGGGGCTCCGGAGCCGATGTGGTGCTGTGTCGCTGTGAGATGACGGCGGCTGTGGTGGGCTCGGCTCGGGCACGGTGGAGCACCCTCGGACGTTGTCCCAGCCGGTCTGGCGTCCGTCCGGCGGCTCGCGCTGGTGCAACGGCTCAGTCGGGGCTGCCGGGCCGCCGCCGGGCCCCGGGGCCGCGGCGTCATTAATCACGGCCGCCGACCGCCGACAATGCCACGCGCTTAAGCAGCGGCGGCGCGGCTGGTTAGTCCGCTTGATCCAGCGGCTTGATCGGGCCGTTTCTCTTCCGCGCGCCGCCGCGCTCGTCGATCACGCCGCCGGCCGCCCGCTTTGGCAATCTGTCGGCCGCCGCGGCCGGCCGCCCCGACGCCGATCAAACCGGCATTAGTCATAGGCGGGCGGCGGCTCGACGCTCGTCCCATTGTGGCGCGACCGGCGCCGCCGCGCCGCCAACGAGCCGTGATTCAATCACGGCGCGCCGGCCGTGGCGCGCGCCAGTTCCGGCGCGCCGCGCACCTCCCGCCGCGCCGTTAGCCGGCGGCACCCCTTCGGCGGCGGCCCGCTGGCGTCGGGCACGCGCCGCGTCCGCGCACCTGACGCCGGTCCACTTCGGCCGGCGTGCGGACGGGAGCGGTTTCACTCGTGTGCGCCGCTCAGGCAGCCGGCGCGATTTCGCCGGTCAACAGCTGATGCCCGCTGGCGGCGGCCGACGGCGCGGCGACGACGAGTGGGTGGAGCGGCCCAGGCGGGCCAGAGCGGACCGCCGCTCAACGGCCGCCGCCGGTCGGCACCTGTCGTCGCCGGGCCTGCCCGCGTCGCGCGGCGCCGCTGGTTCAGCGCCAGAGAGACGGTCCGCGCCGCCGCCGCCGCCGCCATCGTCGGCCGTCGGCCCGGCGGCGGTGCCTGACGAGGTGCTAACTGCGGCCGACGCCGTCTGTGCGTGCTGTGTTTCCGCTCGATGGCGTATGTCCCACGCGGCAGCGGCGGCCGCGTCCCGTCCCACCGCCCCGTTTCCGCGTTCCCCGTCGAGCCTAGTCTCGAGAGGAGGCGGCGCCGGCTGTCGACCGCCCGCTGCTGGAGGTCCCAGGCAGCCCAGGCAGAGGCTGCGCTGCAGGACTGCTGGCCAGCCGGCGGTGTTGCCAGTCGCGCCACGCGACCCTCCGGCCGACCAGCCAGACCAGGCCGCGTGCTGGTCAGGCATTATGTTTGTACTTTGGCCATTGCAAGGAAAGGTCACCGGTCGCCCAGGGCCACTCCGGCCTTATCCAAGTCGTTGAACCCATCACCATGACGCTGGGAGCTACCCAGTGCCGTACCCACTCGAGCCTCGAGCACGTCAGACCAGACCCGGCTGGCCCGGTCGGCTGCCATCTGGTGACGAGTCGGCCCACATCGGCTGCCCCGGCCGACCGAGCCACCGCGCGCCTCCGCGGCCGCCCACCGGCCGCTTGTGATGCGGCCTGACCCACTGGCGGGCTCATCTCAATCGGCGCCGGCCGGCCGCCATCTGGACAGAAATGACGTGACCCACTGCGGCCAGCCGCCCTTCCGCCCGCCGATGTCGGGCCTCGCAGGCGGGGGTGTGTTGACTGATGATGATGCCGGCAGTCGCGCACAGCGTCCCGCGGCAGCCTGTCTGTCCGTCTCACGGAGAGTCGGTGACAGCTGGGAGGAGCGGCGGCGCCGGGCGACGAGTGTGGAGCTGATATGATCCATTGCCGTGGGATCCGCGGGGAGGGGGTAAAGGAGCGGCGCGGTGCCTGGTGGGGTGTTGTGTGGGCTGCCTGTGACCGGCCGGTTGAGCTCCGCCGTGGCTGCGACGCCCGGCGCTAGCGAGCCGGGAACGTCAGGCCGGGCCGGGCCCGCGGCGCCGGGGCTCATGCGGCGGCGACCGTCCTCCGCCCGGCTGGGCTCGCACAGGCCGGCTGTACCGGCGGCGGCCGAGCGGCCCCCTGGACGGCGCTCAGACCGCGCTCGGGTGGCCGGGCCGTCGTTTTAGCGGCACTGGCCGCATGTCGATGCCTTTGACGTGTGTTTCGGCTCACGCTTTTTGAAGGTGGCTCTGTCTAATGCTGAAATTGTCTGATGTTGATGTTGTCTGGTTTGGAGGCTGTGACGGCCAGGCTATTTTGTTAGAGAGGTGCCCGCTACGAGAGAAAACGTGGGAAATGCAGACGTGAGTCGGCCACTCGCACAATTGTAACATACCACCAAGAGCTTTGGGCTCCAACCCTGGTGCAGCACTAATTCCGCAGACTCAATCGCCGCAGCGGGCATGGGGGCCGGGCGTGCAGGGTGGCAGCGGTTGGGCGTGTCGGCGAGCGCTAACCATTAGCTGCAACGAGACGGTAATGCCCGCTAACACAAGCTAGGAAGACAGCAATGCCCAGGACGGAAATAATGGTACCTATTACCAGCGGTGGCTCGGCAGATGGCGGTAGCGATTGTGCGTGGTCAGGAGACGCTGATAGCTGTCATCTCCAGCCGGGTCTGGAGCACGACAGCGCCGCGCCGGCAGAGGTGGCGGCGATGTCGTCCTCGGACGCCCGGCCTGGCCCCAGGCTGGCGCCGGCAGGGCCTGTCCTCGGACGCCCGACCCGGCTTAGGCTGGCGCCGGCAGGGCCTGTCCTCGGACGCCCGACCCGGCCCAGGCTGGCGCCGGCAGGACCTGTCCTCGGACGCCCGACCCGGCTTAGGCTGGCGCCGGCAGGACCTGTCCTCGGACGCCCGACCCGGCTCAGGCTGGCGCCGGCAGGACCTGTCCTCGGACGCCCGACCCGGCTCAGGCTGGCGCCGGCAGGACCTGTCCTCGGACGCCCGACCCGGCTCAGGCTGGCGCCGGCAGGACCTGTCCTCGGACGCCCGACCCGGCTCAGGCTGGCGCCGGCAGGACCTGTCCTCGGACGCCCGACCCGGCTCAGGCTGGCGCCGGCAGGACCTGTCCTCGGACGCCCGACCCGGCTCAGGCTGGCGCCGGCAGGACCTGTCCTCGGACGCCCGACCCGGTCCAGGCCGGCGCCGGCAGGACCTGTCCTCGGAAGCCCGACCCGGCCCAGGCTGGCGCCGGCAGGACCGCCGGCCTGGCCCCAGGCTGGCGCTCGCAGGACCTGTCCTCGGACGCCCGACCCGGCTTAGGCTGGCGCCGGCAGGACCTGTCCTCGGACGCCCGACCCGGCTTAGGCTGGCGCCGGCAGGACCTGTCCTCGGACGCCCGACCCGGCTCAGGCTGGCGCCGGCAGGACCTGTCCTCGGACGCCCGACCCGGCTCAGGCTGGCGCCGGCAGGACCTGTCCTCGGACGCCCGACCCGGCTCAGGCTGGCGCCGGCAGGACCTGTCCTCGGACGCCCGACCCGGCTCAGGCTGGCGCCGGCAGGACCTGTCCTCGGACGCCCGACCCGGCTCAGGCTGGCGCCGGCAGGACCTGTCCTCGGACGCCCGACCCGGCTCAGGCTGGCGCCGGCAGGACCTGTCCTCGGACGCCCGACCCAGTCCAGGCTGGCGCCGGCAGGACCTGTCCTCGGAAGCCCGACCCGGCCCAGGCTGGCGCCGGCAGGACCGCCGGCCTGGCCCCAGGCTGGCGCTCGCAGGACCTGTCCTCGGACGCCCGACCCGGCTCAGGCTGGCGCCGGCAGGACCTGTCCTCGGACGCCCGACCCGGTCCAGGCTGGCGCCGGCAGGACCTGTCCTCGGAAGCCCGACCCGGCCCAGGCTGGCGCCGGCAGGACCGCCGGCCTGGCCCCAGGCTGGCGCTCGTAGGACCTGTCCTCGGAAGCCCGACCCGGCTCAGGCTGGCGCCGGCAGGACCGCCGGCCTGACCCCAGGCTGGCGCTCGCAGGACCTGTCCTCGGACGCCCGACCTGGTCCAGGCTGGCGCCGGCAGGACCTGTCCTCGGACGCCCGACCCGGCTCAGGCTGGCGCCGGCAGGACCTGTCCTCGGACGCCCGACCCGGCCCAGGCTGGCGCCGGCAGGACCGCCCGGCATGCCCGGCAGCGTCTGGCACTGCCGTTCACGGTGCTGGAATGGCGTCCGCGGCGTTTGAGTCCGGGACGCTGGTGCGCGGTCCGGCCGTTACTGCCTGTTACGGACCGGTTGCTGAGGCGCTGGCTGCGGTGCCGCGCGTGCCGGGGTCGGGCCGGCCCCTGCTGGCCGGTCGGCCGCCCGGCAGATGTGAGCCCGTGCTGTGTTGCATTATTGGCGGGCCCGTTATGGCGGCGCGCTGAGGTCATCTTGACTGGTGCTGACCTCTGGCCGCCCCGACGGCTGGTGAGCGCCGCAGCAGCGTGCCACGTGCTCTGGTGCACCGTCGGCGGCTTTGGCAGCTTTCAAACGCGCCGGTCAGCTCACATGGTCGGGACCACGCGGGCCATCGAAATGGGGGAAATACCGAGTCGGCTTCTCGAGACCGATCCCGCAACTCTTTGGCCCGTTAAAGGCGGGTTGACCTCGCGTTGATCTCGATCACATTTGTTTGCCAGCCTTCGAAGTGATGAGAGGTGTCAGCTTTTGCGGCTGAGACACCGGCAGGCAGCCGCACGGTGTCGGCCGGCCGGAGCGGATCGAGGGCTGTCCCGGCCGATCCGAGCGGCCGCTGACAGGGGGCGGGCCCGGCCGCCGCGCGCCCTGTGCCGACCCCTGTCATCGGCTTCTGTGTGGCGCCGCCCGGGCTCGACCGGCGCCAGCACGGCCCGTGCTTTACTGGGCCACCGGCGGCTGCTGACCGAGCGGGGCCCGGCCGCAGCGGCTCGGAACCATCAGCAGACACCGGGACACGCTCACGTGCCGCGTGGGCCAGCCCAGAAGACTGCTGATGGGGTTAACACAGTGGGAGGGCGGCCGTTGTAGTCTGACTGGAGGACTCGTTTGGGCCGCCGTCGCCTTGACGAGTAGCGTTTGTGTTTGAAGTGAAGTTTGGGCCGTCATCGCATTTGGCGCGCTGGTGCGCTAGTAGCGGAGAGGGGCTGGCACAGGGCCCATCTGTCGGCCGA